CACGTACACACACCACACACACACACGACACACACACAACATAAACCAACACACACACACAACACACACACACACACACACACACACACACAAACACGCACACACACACCACACACACACACACACACACGCACAACACACACACACATGTACACACACACACACACACCACACACACACACACACACACACACACACACCACACACACACACACACACACAAAACACACACACATACACACACACACACACCACACACACACACACACACACACACACACATACCACACACACACACACACACCACACACACACACACACAAGCACACACACACACTCTTTAAGCACACGTTACACACTACACACACAACCACACGGTTAACACACACGGTACACACTACACCACCGGTACACGGGACACGAACCCATTACACACACACGTAACACACGGCCACGTTACCACACACGTACACGCACGCACGTATCACACACGCTCGACACGACACACCGTCAACACGTCAGGACACGCACACGTACACGCCACGTACACACACGGATCCCCACGACCACACGTTCGCACACGTACCACACACGTACACGGAACACTTAGCCAACGTACCACACTGACACACACGCACCGTTACAGTACAGCCCACGCAGCAACACACAGCGTATGTACTGACTGGGGTATATGCAGCGAGAGCTTCATGCCAAGGGTCTGCTTCCGTTTCATTAAGTAAAGTCATACTGGATGGAATATTATCATGGAACTATGCTGGCGATAACCCCCTCTTCATTTTATATAATTTGAGACAAAAGAGTTCTGCTTTGCTTACAAACAGTGTTAACAATCCTGCTTAACAGACGCATCATCATAAAATCAACTATAGTTGCAAAAACAGCTTACTCCAATCACATTTAATTACAAAATAGCTTATAATCCATCAACAGCCAGCCTCTAAACATTTGTATACCAACTTGCTGAGAACAAATGTATACATAACATATATACATTGCTATATATCTCTGGCGAACAATGTATATATGTTGTTCTACGAGACAACTCTCTACAATTATTTCTCCTCGTGGGAAGACGCAGCCTTAATAACACGTTGTATTAGATGTTACACTCTCAAAACATACAAGTGGCTTTAGATTTCTCCTTCACCCACCCCAACCCAATAAGTTTCTTCGTAGTACTGAAAAATGATTGTATTATTGAATTTTACAGACAAATGTGCTATTAAACATATTGTTTTAACTTAAAATATTCCAGTGGAGTGACTCAATTAATTATTTGTGTTTGTTATTAGACTTAGTTTCAAACACTGCTTACATCCGTGTTTTTCAGTTTATGTTAATTAATTCTAATAGGTAATTAAACAGTGAAGGACTGTAATAAAACTTGTTATTTATGGCTTATGCCTCATAATTACTCGACAATGTAAAAATTATTTAAATTGATGATCCACATCTGTCAAATAATTGGTTTGTCGTTTTCTTTCATTTCTCTAAAATGTACGTAAGCAGTTAAGCAAAATAAGCTCTTCAAATATAGAATCTATTAATTTAACTTTATAAATCTAGATAAAGTATGGAAATAAAACGATAGTTTATATTAATATTTTTTTTGTGGTCTATAGTCGATATATAATCCTCTTGGTTCGACGAATATAGAATATAGTGAAATAAGACTACGTAGAAGGTCTGTACGTACGGCACGTCAAACACAGAAATATAACTATGTATATATCTAGTCCAAACAACTATGTAATCTAGTCCCGTATTTATCGATATCTTATCCGTATTTATCGAGGTGTTACTTAGTGTAGTGTCGCTAATGCCACTTTCCCACCCCACCCTGCTCTCCCACGATGCTATGTAGAGTCCTAACGTGAGCACTTTAGCGGCGAACGCTCACCTTTGATGATGGCACTCGTTTAACGGCGCCCAGCGTGTCGGAATGTTTTAATTTCTCAACTCATTAGCGCCACACAATGTGCCCCCATATGGCATATATATACACTTGTTAGAGGCGATGCCGCGTGAAAACGAGTGCGAAACGTCATTGACAATAAGAAAAATACTTGAACAGACTTACTTTTAATTGTCTGACATCGGTGTGTCTCTCTCGATCTCTCGGAATTCTCGTGTGATTCGCGAGGGCTTTCCGTAGGTCTGTATCGTAGGTGCATAGTGTTTCTGCAGCGTGAAACATATAAAAAGTGTCTATTGATGGATTCGCACGTAGAGGTGATACATCGACATTACTACCGGTAACGCGATAACATCACTTTAGAGAAAAAACTATCCGTGTGAATTTCGGCTTTCCTGTCGATTTCCGGATGCGCAAGCGAAGCAGACGAATTTGTGCCGAGTAATGGTGACTGCCACCGCCGATCTCGCGGCGGAAAATCAAATCAATATTTTCACGCTGCATTTGTACGTATATGCGTGTTTATTTATTTATTTAATTATTCTATTTATTTTATTTATTTGTATATTTAATTATGCATTTATGCTGCGATCACATATGGGAAGCAGCTTTACACAGTCTGACTTCGATTTAAATGCTGACGAATACAGTGAGTAAACGCCCGCAGGGGGAAAGGTACCAAGGTACGTAAATGAACTTTCGCGTCTGCATTTCGCATGTAATATTGATTTTCGTAGTAAACAAAACTATGCTGCGCTTGCTATGCAATAAGTGTATAATATATATATTCTCCTCTCTCTCGCGCGCGCTCTCTCTCCGTCTCTCTCTCTCTCTCTCTCTCTCTCTCTCTCTCTCTCTCCGTCTCTATCTCATCTCTCTCTCTCTCTCTCTCTCTCTCTCTCTTCTCTCCTCTCTCTCTCTCTCTCTCTCTCTCAAACTCTTCCTGTATATGTTATTATTATACCGTATCTATATACGCTTTCTTTGTGATTGGGAGCGGCGACATCTTGAGCTGTGACGTCTACCTTGCCTGCCCCATGAAGACGTGCTAATATACAAGACTGCACCTATTGCTGGTTACGACCTACATACAATATATGTAATCCATTTACAATAATAAATATATATTAATGTGTGTCAATAACATGGACAATGTGGGAGTTGCCCCCTACTCTTGTTGGGTTACATTATATTGTAATGGTAAAAAACAAAACGGATATAGTAAGCAAATTATTGTATCTAGTTACAACCAGGCAGCATCATACTGCTGTCTATGAACGCGTGTTGGTTCTTCCGTTTTATTAAGCTGCACTTAGATGCTAGCCGCTGATAATAATAACAAAAAACATCCTGTGTATAGGTAGGTATATACATGTAAATTTGCTTTACTTTACAAAATTTCCTTTATTTATAATCTACATCTTGGATGTACAACAATGTTTATATATATATTATTATATGAAGTTGATAAGGTGTATATAATCATAAAAACCAACTGCTTTAACTCCTTGCACAGATGCCTGATATTTACAGTCAAACGGCACCTTTAGCTAATAGATACATATGGATATATTTTACTCTCAGTAGATACACAGATATCCCGCTCCCATCCGTAGATACACGCATATCCGCTCCTCCGTAAATACACGCATATCGCGCTCCTCCGTAGATACACGCATATCCCGCTCCCTCCGTAGATACACGCATATCCGCTACCTCCGTAAGATACACAGATATCCCGCTCCCTCCGTAGATACACGCATATCCCGCTCCCTCCGTAGATACACGCATATCCCGCTCCTCCGTAGATACACGCATATCCGCTCCCTCCGTAGGATACACGCATATCCCGCTCCCTCCGTAGATACACGCATATCCCGCTCCCTCCGTAGATACACGCATATCCCGCTCCCTCCGTAGATACACGCATATCCCGCTCCCTCCGTAGATACACGCATATCCCGCTCTCTCCGTAGATACACGCATATCCTCGCTCCCTACACGTACCATAGACGTACTACATACTTCCAGAAAACGCATCCTCCATAGAAACCACGGGTACATCCTGATCATCTGTGCTTAGCATAACTAATAATAATAATATCAGAAACACCTAAGGAACAGTCGCCATATTTGGTTTACTTCAGCACACCAAATTTAAGTTGCCGTGAGTGGGCCCTACAGGGTCTCCATGGCTTACAAACCATCGATCCTTTCTCCTTACACTTGTGTTACATGGATTACTATATTGCTTTGTATAATCTCGCATTTCTTTCGACAGCAACGGTAACTGTGCGTGGTTACGATCTGCTTAGTCCACTATATGTCGTTTTCTCTACGTTTAGTCAAACTAGCTAATAATTCAACAGTCGAATTTAACTTACTCATTTGAATTCAAAGTACCAGATGTACGCTGCAGCTAAACACCACATGTGTGATCGATCATAATTAACATTTAGTAAAATATATTGCACTTTGCTGCACAATCGATTAGATAATCAGTCTCAATACTTCCGAATTCCTAACACTGCGCTCAACCTTAACACGTGATCATCTCCAGGAATGCACAACACTAACTCGATCCATCCTCATGATTATAGAGCAATGCGGTACAGCCTAATCTGATCATTATTCAGGTGTAATATTGCTGATTACCATCCTCCGAGTAGATAGGACTAAACGCTGTAGGCTATACTCATGATAGTGGATCTTACACAGATGTTCCTACTATGTAAATGGTTATTCTCATTATAAGTTAGCTATATGTATACTTATATACCTGCATATTACACCATTGATACTAGACGAATATGCACATGATACAATAGATATGTAAGGCAGAGATTATATATATATATATATATATATATATATATATATACATATATGGAATATGAAGGATACAATATGTAGGAGCTGAGAAGTATGCAGGCACTTATAAATGGAGCCTACAGAATGGCAGCGTCTGTCGGCAATATAAAAGATGTGCTACGTGAATGCCACACGTTCGCGACTAACCCAACCACTCTAATATCATTAAATAGAAAAACAAAACAAAAACAAATTGCCGATCAAAAACTTTAGATAAAATAATCGCTGACAACTTGCTGCCACTCAGTCAGGCTCTCTATAACACGGCAGCTCCTGCGCTTGGTACATCTAGGTACAGTTACGTAATACACGGGCATATACCTATATACATGCTGCGATGTAAAGTTTCACAACATCAATAATGTTTAAAGCACCTACATGGTGGCTATACTCTACAGCTGCCATTCCTATACATATTGACGAGGTATTGATCTATAGGTGGGGAAGGGTGGGGGAGAATCACTAATGGCCCATCGAGTGAGAGAATGATTATCGATTAGGTTTGTCTTCATGCTGCGATTAATCAATCGAAGCGTCTGCCATGCACATCGCCCTCATGCCGACCGTACAGGCTTCTATGCTATAGTCACAGTGCTGATGTCATGGAGATTGACCTCGAACTCGACTTTGGTTGCCGTGGCGACGTTAGACAGAGATTATGTAATGATACATATAGTACTGGCCGATCAGACAAGCAGTAGCATCAGGTTATTACGTACGCGATATTAAATAGTATTCGTCCCTATTCATAAGTTAAACGCTTTCTTATGTAATATATGCACATACAATATATAAAAAACAATTATTCGGTTGACGGCCCTGGCCAAGGCCTCATTCAGACGACTAGATGGGCAAGCCAGTATCACTCTCAAAGTACCAGGTAGTTAAAGTCACTTAGCACGTGATTCATACACATAATATATATATTATATATGTATATATATATATATAGTCGCATACTATCATATAGTCTCCCGAGCGGAACTTAAACCAGACACACTGATATTACACAGTTGGTCGCAGCAGTAGATCTAGAATAGTTTAACGACGCAAACGTCTTCTTACGTAATTCTGGCCTCTCCGCGTACTGGCTAGCGTGTGCGGGCGTGTCGCCACCGTTCGTAAGAACTGCTTAACGTACAACGCGACGTAGTAGCGACTTCGACAAGTAATGCGTGTGAATTGTCCTCGCAATAACAGTAGAACTATCGTTCATATTCGCAAGCGATTCTGTGGTCGCGGGGTGTGTTAGCAGAGCTAATGATTTGTGGTTGCTATACGATCGTATATCTGTGTGTATAACCTCTGTCCTCCTCCTCATCGTCGTCTCCAAGCTTTATCACGATTTTTGGAGAATTCTCCGGCTGCCTTCCGTTTGGCCTGAACAAAGCAATACATTCATTATAGCAACTCGTTATTTCAGAAAAATAGACATACAAACTAAAATAGTGAATTGAATTAATTGCGAATAGAGAAAGAATAATGTAATCACTGACTGACAGCATGAGAAGAAACAATCACTACTGAACTAGGTAAGTAAGACATGATCGTATATGTTTTCTTTTACATTTAACCTGCCAGAGAAGCATTTGCTGTATGTTTCCCTAGTGTTTGAAGCATTCATAGCAGCTTCGGAATCAACCGACATCTGGCTAATTGGTCCACTTTAAGCTGGGTTTACACTACCGACTTTGTGTTGGCGAATTGGACCAACTTCCCAACTATACAACCAACAATCGGCAGTGTAAACGCAAAAGTTGCGCGACCAACCGATCGATGGCAACTAGTTGGGAGATTAGAACATGTTCTATTTTTCGCCAACTCGGAGTTGCCGAATTGCGAAATTGGTCCAACTCGCCAATTCGCCAACATAAACTCGGTAGTGTAAACCCAGCTTTACCCTGTCATCGCTCGTATTGTTCGTATATTTCGCGCCAGTACGTACCTTTCCAATAGATCTACAGATTCTCTAGGTGAGGCATTTAGTTGAATTCTCGGATCTGGCGCACGTGTGCTGCCAATGCGACTGCCTCCTGTAATAAAAAACGTTTGCTCTAAAAATACAGAGATACAGTTGTGATGGGTAAATAATTAGGGCAGCATATTTATACGTATCACGTTCGTTATTACCGAAGAATCTACGTCACAATTTCTATTTAGACAAACGATGAGCCATTCTGGCCTTTCTGTTCGACGCTTTTGAATTATAGACTCTCGCCGACCGTTTTCGCGTGCATCGCGCAGCCACCGACCTGCGGGGCTCTCGGGCGAGTCTATGTCGGAGTAGGTGTGGCTGCTGGCATGGCTGCTTGAGCGCATGTAGGCCGGCTGAACATCGGGAGGGCTGGGTGTCGTCTCCTCCTCGTCCGTCGAAGATCCACCCGTCCGTCGTCTGCCGGGGTTTCTACATGGTGACGAAAAAACAACGGATGTTATCATTGATATATCTATAACATCATAATGATTAGTCTTCAAAATCCAAGGGACAATACTGAACATGGAGAGAGAAAAAGTTCATAAATTAGACAGATCAGTAGTAGAAAAAGCTTCAATTTTTTGGGGGGTGCAAAAAAATAGGCGTTTTTCATTCTGCTTCAGGTACTCCAATTAGAGCTGTAGTTATGTAATTAATTTCAAAACTAAAATATATCTAGCATGACTATGTTATACATGTATTATATAGCTAGGAAATGTCCACTACCTTTAGAGTACTTTCTCATGTCTACTCCTCCACGTTCTTGCCAATGTCTTCCAAATATTACCTATTACTCCTATATTTTACTTAATTATAATTAATCTTAATTATTATTAATCTTAATCGTATATTATATTACACTAGCTGCTTGGGTAGGAGTCCACCCCACCCCCTTACCTCGGCGATTTCCCGCTCTGGCTGGACCGCCTCTGCTGCACAGACGTCTGACTGCGTGTTCGCTTTGGCCGCTTGGGTCTCTCGCGTGGCGGCTGTACGTCCTGGTCTGTGGTCGTGTCGCTGGACACACTGGCTCGCTTCGTCAGAGCGCTGGTGTTGTGCGGCAGGATAGTCTCTGCGAGAGAGAGGAAACAACTCAACTAGTGATAATATTAGATCGCTGGCTCCTTCCTAGCCAATGTTTGGTTAACATTTATAAATGTAAAAGAAATATTGGCTAGGAAGTAGCTAGCGATCTACCACGTGCATGGCAAAGACCTGTGCGGTGTTCGACCGTTGCTTTCTAGCTGTTCTGATGGTCGGCGGTTTGTTTCAGGTGAACGCTAGTGAGCTATAGCTATAGTGAGCTATATCTATAGATATCATCTGTATATTAGCAGCCACTATCACTACACCTTGCCTTCTTAGGGGAAGGAAACGGTGGCGGGGGCCGATTCCCAATGCCCCAGCAAAAATTATACAATTTAACAGTTGAATAACGTCGCAATTCCAAATCCCTTTAAATTATAAAAATCCCTAAACTGAAATTTTTTAAGAATTTCTCCATTCCCCGATTAAATAACATTTAACAATTAAGCAACCCCTCCCACTTCTTACCCTGGCTGTATGCGGGCATGATGCACGTGCTCTCTCGCTGCTCGTTAATGGTAGGTGGCGTCTGGGTGAACCTCAGGATGCCTGGATCCGTGGCACTGTTCTCCCCGGAGTCGGAATCTTCCGGAATCTCGGGTTCCGGCTCAACGCGGGCGACCGCCGGCGTGCCGCTGATCTCTCGCTCTTCGATCGGCGCCGCCGGGTGACGCTTGTAGTTCTCGTAGGCACGTATGAGCTCGTCGTGATTGGACGAGACGTCGGTGGCGTTCGATGCAACGCTCTGACGCTTTAAGTCTGCGAAGAGCGAAACAAAAATGGCGGACGCTGCATCTATCGTCATCGTCACTGGTCGACTAACGAGTGCGCACGAAGATTTACATGTAGCCGATTAGTAAATATGCATTCTTTATACGCTGTGGCTATATGCCCGGCAGCCGAGCACGGTCTTCGATTTCCTAAATGCCCGGCAGTTTGACCTCTGTTTGACCTGGCTCGTTCAGATCTTTCTGACTAACCCTAACCCTAACCCTAATTAAATTGAATTAACAGTAATAAATTTAATTTCATTAAAAAAAATTTTAATTTTAGTTAATTTAAGTTTAATTAAATTGTTGTAAATAAATCATGTCAATATTTGCGTTATTGGAAAAAAATAGTTAAATGGATAAAGATAAAAAAATAGAAAAATACAAATAATAAAAACGAAACAGATGGGATTCGAACCAATGACCTTCAGACGTAACGCCGGTGGTGTACGAGATCGGCTATTCAGGGTTGTTGGAATTATATATTATGGATGTGCCATGCATACATGGATGTGCGTACATGGATGTGGATGTGGACTTTTAGGAAATCGAAGACCGTGCCCGGCTGCCGGGCATATAGCCACTGCGTTCTTTATACACGTGTTCACGTACATTTTTTATATGAAGGTTCACATACATTCTTTATATGAAGGTTCACATACATTCTTTATATGAAGGTTCATACACATTCTTCATACAAAGATTCATGTACATTCTTTGTACTAAACTTTACATGTACATTCTTTATACAAAGGTTCACAAACGTTCTTTATATGAAGGTTCATATACATCCTTTACACGAAGCTTCACATATCGTTTCGTAAAAGCCCCGCGAGTAACTCTCACCTCGGCCTATAGGCGACAGCACCTTTGGCGTTAGCACTTTCCTGCCCAGCGGGAGGTTGGGGTGGGCTGGAGGAAGGCCACCGTGCGGAAGCACCTGTACACCTCCTAGAATGCCCCTAATCTCGTTACCTCCTCTGAATTGAGGTCTAACAGGATTCATTGGCATCTCACCTCCTGCAAGAATCGATAACGGCAATGAATAGCAATTACGGACGAGCGAAGCAATCAGCGCCATCTAGTATTAACTTTATGCATATAATCTAATCACGCTACGTAATACAATAAACGGGTAATTATAATTTTATGCGCGGCACAATTGCATTCCCAACTGGAGATTGATTAGCGTGTAATTATGGTCGTCTAAAAACATCTATGCCGAGGTCGATTAATATATGATAATGAGTTCAAAATTTGAAAGAAATTACCATAAAATTCTTTTGAAAAAATCTTCGAATTTTTTATAAATGAATAAATATTTCAAAGGCGTCACGCTTGCAAGACTATCCTAACAAGGAAATTACGTCGATGTAATCATGACTGAAAAACAGTTCCTAGAACGCGCATAAAACTGCCCACGTTTTCTTGAAACAAAGAAAGCCCGTACAGTTTAATACGTAGGAGAAAGAGTTAAGATACGGTAGCAGGCCTTTCTGTGTACTCACTATCTAGTAAATATACACACCTCTTGGCTGCGGAGTGTCGGGAGAAGGAAGATCTGTGACCGGAAATGGAAACGGCGTTGGTCTGTTGTTTCTGTTCGATGTGACTGGCTGTACACTCTGTAAGTAGAGAATGAGGGCGCATGCCACTTATGTACGTAATAAACATACGTACATACATGTTAGATATGATCGCAAACTTGTCCACACAGTGTATACGTAATCATACACCTGCACATGCCTGGTAGAAATAACCAGTCCCCCTGTAATACCTGGTAGATATTATCATACACCTGTACATACCTGGTAGATATTATCATACACCTGTAATACCTGGTAGCTATATTATCACACACCTGTACATACCTGGTAGCTATATTATCACACACCTGTACATACCTGGTAGCTATATTATCACACACCTGTACATACCTGGTATATATTATCACACACCTGTACATACCTGGTAGATATTATCATACACCTGTACATACCTGGTAGATATTATCATACACCTGTAATACCTGGTAAATATTATCATACACATACATACCTGGTAGATATTATCATACACCTGTACATACCTGGTAGATATTATCATACACCTGTAATACCTGGTAGATATTATCCTACACCTATACATACCTGGTAGATATTATCATACACCTGTACACACCTGGTATACATTATCATATACACCTGTACATACCTGGTAGATATTATCATACACCTGTACACACCTGGTAGATATTATCATACACATGTACATACCTGGTATATATTATCACACACCTATACATACCTGGTAGATATTATCACACACCTATACATACCTGGTATATATTATCATACACCTGTAACACCTGGTATACATTATCATATACACCTGTACATACCTGGTAGATATTATCATACACCTGTACACACCTGGTATACATTATCATATACACCTGTACATACCTGGTAGATATTATCATACAACTGTACATACTTGGTATACATTATCATACACCTGTACACACCTGGTAGATATTATCATACACCTGTACACACCTGGTAGACATTATCATACACCTGTACATACCTGGTAGATATTATCATACACCTATACACACCTGGTAGATATTATCATACACCTGTACACACCTGGTAGACATTATCATACACCTGTACATACCTGGTAGATATTATCATACACCTATACACACCTGGTATACATTATCATACACCTGTACATACCTGGTAGATATTATCATACACCTGTACACACCTGGTATACATTATCATACACCTATACATACCTGGTAGATATTATCATACACCTGTACACACCTGGTATATATTATCATACACCTGTACATACCTGGTAGATATTATCATACACCTGT